TCAATTACCTTTTGTGCAGCAGCAGGAGCATGCCACCTCCCAGCTGTAGCGATCAGTGCAGACTGGGTGGGACGTGAGGGACCTGAGAGATGCTAAGCAGCATTTTCTGGGGGTTTCCTTCCTTAGAAGGCCTCCCTTTTCTGTGTTCCTAGGGACTCTGGCTTAAATAAAACGGAAGTCTATGCCCCAGATGGGCTGAGCATGCAACAGCCCTCCCTCAGTAGCCTCCTTTAGAAGCAGGCTGGTGAAAATGGTCACAAAGGACCAGAACTTGGAACCCTGGGGTGACGAGTGCCAGAATGGTTTTCTAGCTGGAGGGTTTTTTTTTTTTTTTTTTTTTTTGCACACCCTGGCTTTTGCAAGCAATTGCATGATATAAACTCTGAATGCCATCGCGGCTAGAAAGTTTGGAAGGAGACACACCCAATGTGAACAGACAGAGGAAGGGGACTTGTGGGGAAGCAGGGTGGGGTAGTCTCAGGACTTGAGCTTTATCTGTATGGAGGATTTCAAGTTTTTATCCTGAGAATAAATTCCTAGATTACTTGCATAATTATTAAACACAAATATAAGTTAGAAAAACAAGAAATCATTTTAAACATCCCCCAAAATATAGAACAAAAGCAAGCCATCTGGAACACTTTTTAGACCTTACTTCTGACCAAAGATCCAAGTGGTGCAACTACTAAGCTTGTTGGGGGAGAAAGGTTGGTGGGACCGGGTGGTGTTAGGGATCTCTAGAGAAAGCCTGCAGAAGCTAGAGATAGAACCATAAGAAATCATACTTTTTTTGAGACAAAGTCTGTATATGTAGCCCAGGCTGGTCTCAAACTTAAGATCCTCCTGTCTCAGTCTGCCAGTGCTGGGATTACAGACATGACATGCACAGCTCAAATCCTAGGTTTTTTAAAAAGAAAATTAACTTTTATTATTTTTTCTTTTCATATAAATATCATAGATTCATTTTAGACAAATGAGAAAATACAGATAAGGAAAATAAAAATAAAAATTCCCTCTAACCCCCATCCAAATATGGTCACTGTTAATATTTTGATATATATCGATCCAGACTTTATTTTATACCTAAAATAAATAGGTCTAAAATAAATAAATATACCTATTTATTTTACAAAAATCTGAGAATTATGTCCACACTAGAATATAATTCTCAATGGCTGCATTAGTGGCTGCTATAATTACACCAGGATTCACTTAATCATTAAACAAATTGGGTTCTAACATCAGGCAGTTAGGTTAATTCCAGTTTTTTATTGTCGTTGACAACTGTGTTCTGTAGCGGTATGACATTGGGAAAGCTAGTTAACCTCTCTGGGCTTCAGGATTCTCATCTGGAAAACGAAAGTGATAATAGCAACTACCTCATAGGGATGTTGTGAGTATCAAATGAGACCATGTAAGTAAAGCACTTAGCACAGTGCCAGGCACAGTAATTATTAGCATTAAATATTAGAATATGAATAGCGGTCCTTATGCAGCTGTTCCTAATAGAATGCGTTTTCTGTGACTATTTTTGTGGTTTGGGGGAGAAGGAAGAGCAATGGAAATGTTACTTTTCAAGTAGTATATAGTATAGTGAGCAGTGGACTCAGGCAAAGGTGTGGGCTTTGGGTCAGGTCAGTTCACCTGCCAAGTCCGAGCCTCCTTATCAGCAAACTGAGAATTAAAAGGGTCTGACTCAAGGAGTAGTTATAAAGATCAAGTGAGATAATGCTAGTGATGCCCTTAGCACCATTCTTAGCACAGGAAAAGAGTTTAACCAGGGTAAGCTGGTATTATTATTTTATTATTATTAATTATTATTACTATTACTACAAAGATTTAGCCATTTGTGGTAAGAAGGTTTCCTGTCTTGGTGGGGTGGGGTAAAATGGCAGTGAGATGAACACTTGGTATTAATAATCACCTGATCCCAAAGAGAGAAAATGATTTTTGAAGCAGACCGACCAGGGCTCAGAGCCAGCCCTTGCCATTTATTAGCTCTGTGACCTTGGCCAGATAAATTTTTCCAAGCCCACTTCTCCATTTGCAAAATGGGAATGACGTCAGTGTGTCCCTTCCAGGTGTTGCTGGAGGCCGGAAGAGATAATGCTTATGTAGTTATTGTCGGCTGCCAGCTATGCATTACTGTGGCTTGCTCAGTTTGAGGTGTATAGTAAATGATCTGAGTGCCTCCATCCCAAGCTCCGAGTCTGCATACCTGGACTACTTGAACTTCATCTTTGCCTTATCCAGAGCTCAGGGACCAGGTCTGCCCTTAGACTGAAGACTTCAGCAGTTCTGTTTCAGAAGACAGAGGACTCTGGTGATGTTTCTGCTACTTCTACTCGGACCTTGTGCCTCAGTTCTAGAAAGCAGGCTGTAGCCCAGTTTATATGAGATGAGTTCACCTGGAATGCTCACGACTGGCATGTTTTCCTTACTCGCTGTCTGAAACCTGTGGCGCCTCACTGTCGAATCCTAGCTCTGTGGCAGGGACACTGGTCGCCATATTCCCCTGTGTCTCTGACACTAGGACCAACTGCCTTTCTTATTCTCAGCATTGCAGGGCTCTTAGAAAGGTGTTTGCTTCTCAGCTCCCACTGCCCATCTTTCCCACCCTACTTTCCTTGCACTTGAACTTCTTTCAGCTTTGTCCAAGCCACTCCACTTCATCTCCAGCCCTGGTCCCCTTACCTCTAACACTCAGCCTGTGCTTGCTTCTCAGACCAGTTGCAGCGTCCAGCTCCCAGGACTCCTGTGTCTGGCCAACTGCAGAAGGCATAAGTGTCATTTTCTGAGCGAGGACCCTTTCGGTATCATCTCTTGAATTATATCGATCTCCTCTTCTGTTTGGGGCAGCTAGAGGCAGGCATAGTAAGGGTGGGCAAAGACTGGTGAGACTATCAAGGGTGAGGGGAGAAGGGGGTGGGGTTGCATAGGCCAAGAGCTAAAGCGAAGCTTCTGGAGGGCTGACAAGTGAAAGGCGGCCAGAGGCAAATGTCAGAGCCTATATAGAGGCAGGAATCTGGGACCAGAGAGCCAGAGCAAGCACTAGCAAGTCAGGAGCAGTGGGGCGGGTGGGCGGGCAGGCTGGCTGGCGGGCAAGAGGGGGGTGTGGCAGGGATAGTGAAGGGAGATTGCCGAGAACAGCTGCTGGTATTGGGTCTTGCTGTAATGAACTGGCACAGGGTGTAAGTCAATTGGCCAGACTAAAAGAGCTAGGGTGCAAAAGACACTCTATCCCTCCTCTCTGTCACTGGCAAGGTAAGGTCTTTCTGAGTTTTGCCTAGTGGGGAAATTGTGGTGTGTTCAGGGATCCTTTTTTTTGAAGATGGAAGGTGGAGGTCTATGATTGTTCTTTTGACTCGTCTTTCCCATTGCAGCAATGATTAGGGTAACCAAAATGTCACCTGGAGGCCAATATTTGTTTCATGACACCCCGTCTCGGGGTCGTCCAGGCTAAAGATTAGGAGGAAGGATCTTGGTAATGGAGTTGAGTAAGGGAGAAAGGTGGACCATGATAGCACAGTAGTTAAGAGTGGAGGTGGATGGACCTGGGAATCCTTGTGACTGCAGGCAAATTATTAAGCTTCTCTGCACTTTCATTTTTGTCATTTGGAAGATGAAGAAACTACCCAAATCTCTTAGTGTTGCTGGGGGACCCAAATAAGATCCTATAAGTAAAATGCCTAGTAGAGTGCTTACCAGTCAGTGCACGCTCAAGAAATGGCTATTTCTGCTGCTAGATTTCTTGTTATTATTATGGAGGCCCAATGTCATAAGATTGATGACTTTTGTGACATTGTCCCAAAGTAGCCAGTCTCCAATTTTTGGCATGGACAGCCTGTGGGGACATGTCCATCTTGTGTAATTTCTGCTTTGGTATCCAAGTCATGTGTCAAAGAGCCCCTGCTGGGGCTGCTTATAGGGATGAACCAGAGGGGTGAGGCTCTGGGATTGTCCACCCTTATGCCATCAGAGAAACTTGAAATTTGTACATGCTGTGGACTGGGCTTCAAGTGAACCCTGGTCCAGTTTGTCAGAGAAATAAATGAATGCAAGCTCATGGATACCAAAGACCGGGAAACCCAAGCAAGGGGTGGGAGTCAAAGATATGCAGTCTGTGACTGTCATAGTGACCCTGTTTTGTCCCCAGCCTTAGCTAATCTTAGAAAGCTGGTAAAATAAGAATAATATCTATTGCACAGGGTATTCTAAGACCCAAGTGGGATAATGCTTGCAAAGCCTTGCACATGATAGGCAGTTTAAAGGTATGTACAGTTGCCTAAAGTACAGTGCCACTCACATACTGAGTAATAAACAGTGGTAGTAGTGGTGTTTGTCATCCTTAACAATAATGATGATAACATCAAGTACGATTTCACTTTGTGGAATGCTATTCTGAGTTATTGAATACATAAATGCCCCACTTTTCCTGAGGAGGATATTCAGGGGCATCAAAGTAGTAAAATGGGGACTAAGCCACTGGTAGGATTGAAGAACCCTAGGGATCAATGATTATCCTGGGGAAAGGCTTTCCAATCCAAGTGGGTCAGTACATTGGTTGACTTAACCTAGGAGACTGCACTTCTCGGAATTGACCAGAAGGTGGTGCTGCCACCTCATTTGATCCAGAACCGTCCTGGCTCTGGCTGCTGAGATTATTGGCTTTTATAAACTGGAAGTCTTGCTGTGTAACTGGGTGGGATGGTTTGAAAAGGACAGAGGCTGAAGGCATATTTGGCCCAGCTTCAAAGTTACTTGTTGCCTCACAGCTTCTTCAACCTGATAGGCCCATCTTCAATGTCATATATTTGGCAACACATAAAAACAGGTCTCTACAATGATTCTTTGGTCTATTTCCCAATGTTTTTGATATTGATCATTGACCTCTAAACTTGTTTCCTGTTTACAGATTTTTTGCCATTTGGGATTCAGCAGGACCCCCAATGTCATCTCTTTAGGGGCTCCTTCCACACTGTCCTGTGGTCACGACAGATATGTCAATTCCCTTACATTCACTGCGATTCAACAACATGATGAGGGAGGAAAATGCCGACTCCCAAAACAGGGGGACAACTTTCTCTAGATCAATGACAGAGACCAGAGCAGAGGTCCAATTTCTGCATTCTCATGTACAGTTGCCTATAGTCTCAACTTCAGCCTCAGACCCTGGAACTACAACAACACAGGTGATGACATCCTCAGCCTTTGACACCCTGTCCACACCTCTAATGGTAGCACCAAATTCTGGAGCATTGTCTCCACCATTATTGCCAGCCTCAGACTCTGGGACACTGTCCCCACTGTTAATGCCAGCTTCGGATTCTGGAACATTGTCTCCACTGCTAATGCCAGCCTCGGACTCTGGGGCATTGTCCCCACTGCTAATGCCAACCTCAGATTCTGGAACATTGTCCCCTTTGCTGTCCACTTCAGACTATGGATTAATGTCCCCAGGGATGATGACAATTCCTGACTTTGGGACAATGTCTACAGCACTAATGACAACACCAGATTCTGCAGAGATATCCCCATTGGCAATGGCAACTCCATCCTCGGGCACAATGTCTACCCCTGTAATGAGCATTTCATCCTCAGAGACAATGAGCACTCCATTAATGCTGCCTTCAGATCCTGGGGAAATATCCCCACTCCTGATTCCAGATATAAACCCTGGAGTGACGTCCACCCAGCCAATGACAACTCCAGGATCTGAAGCTATGTCTCCATTGCAAATTACAGATGAGGACACAGAAGCCATGTCCAAAGTACTAATGACTGCCCTGGCCTCTGGAGAGATATCTTCACTGTTGATGTCAGGCACAGACTCTGAAGTGATATCCTCACTGATAATGTCAGCTCTGGCTTCTGGAGAACCATCCACTCAGACAACAAGCACCCAAGACTCGGAGGGAATGTCCGCTGTGCTCATGTCAGGCCCAGACTCTGGAGTTGTGTCTTCACTGCTCATGTCAGCTTCAGGCTCTGGAGCAATGTCCACACCGATGCTAGATGTCCCAGATGCTGAAGTATCCACATTACCAAAGTCAGCTCCAGATGCCGAGGTAATGTCCCCACTGCTAATGACTGCCCTAACCTCCACAGTGATGCCCACCCAACTGATGCCAGCCCCAAGCCCTGGAACGATGCCCACACAGTTAACACAAAACATAGACTCTGAAATCATGTCTGCTCCAGCAATGAGAGCAATACCCCCTGGAATGATGCCTTCTCTGCCAGGGAGAGCTTCTGACTTGGGGGCAATGCCATCCACACCACGAATGAGAGCTCAGGCCTCTGGAACTATGTCCACATCCCACAAGACAGCCCCAGCGGCTGGAGCAGTGTCCACTCCACTGATGACTGTCACAAGTGCCGGAACAACGTTCACAGAGCACATGTCAACTACAGCTTCTACTGTGTTGTCCACACACTTAACAATGGCCAAGACTTCCAGAACAATGCCTACAGGCTTTTTGAAAGTTTCTGCCAATGGAGCGATGTCCACACAGCGAATGAGAGCCCCAGCTTCTGGAGTGGTGTCTACACAGCGAGTTACAGCCACAGCCTCTGAAACAATGTCTGTGTCACAATCAACAGCTCCAGTTTCTGGGTCCATGTGTACCCAGCAAATCAGAACCCCTGTCTCTGGAGCAATGTCCACATCACAAATGAGAAGCACAGCCTCAGGACTGACATCTGCCTCACACATGAGAGCCACAGCATCTGGGTCAATGTCCACACTGTTAACGAGAGACACAGCCTCTGGAGCATTGTCCAAGCCACTAGTGACATCCAAAGCCTCTGGAACAATGTTCATGCAGCAAATAACTGCAGCTTCTGGGGAGATGCCCACCCCACTAATGAGAGACATAGCTCCTGGAGCTCTGTCCATGTCACAAATGACAGACACAGCCTCAGAAGGGATGTCCACATTGCTAATGAGAACCACAGCTTCTGGAGCGATGTCCACATCGCAAATGACAGCCACTGCCTCTGGAGATATGTCCATACCTATGATGAGAAGCCTGGGTCCTGGAGCAACAGCTATGACACAAATGAGAGCCACAGCCTCTGGGCAAATGCTTACTCAGCCAATGAGCACCCAAGACTCTGGAGGGATGTCTACGTCACTCATGAGATCCATGGTCTCAGGAGGGTTGCAGATGAGAGCCCAGACCTCTGGAGCAGTGTCCACATCAGTAATGAGAGCCTCGGACTCTGGAGAGATGTCCACACTGCCCATCAGAGCTTCATCCTCTGGAGAGAGGTCTCTGCCCCTAATGAGACCCTCAGTTTCTGGAGAGACTGTTACACCTCAGAAGACCCCAGCTTATGGAGCAGTATCTGTCCCAAGAATGACAGCCACATCTGAAATGATGTCAATGCCACAGATGAAGGCTTCAGCCTCTGGAGCAGTATCCACACCGCTGAGATCTATAGCCTCTGGAGGGATGTCCATGCCTCAGATGACAGCCGCAGCCTCTGGAGGAGTACCTAGGCTGCAAATGAGAACCCTGGCTTCTAGAACAAGGCCCACACCACAAATGATACCCACAGCTTCTGGAGACATGTGCACACTCCCAGTGCGAGCTTCAGTCCCTGGAGAGATGACCCCACCACCAGTCAGAGCACCAGTCTCTGGAATTATGTCCACGCCACTAAGGAGGCCCTCGGCCTCTGGAGCTGTGACCACAGAGTTAATGAGAGCTCCAGCCTCTGGAAAGATGTCTACTGCACAAATGACAGCCAATGCCTCTGAAGGGATGTCTAAGCCATTCATGAGAGCCACAGCCTCTGGAACAGTGCCCATGCCTTTGATGTCAGCCATGACTTCTGGAGAGATGTCTGTGCCACTAATGAAAACCATGGCCTCTGGAGCAGTGCCAACACTGCAAAGCAAAGTTGTGAACTCTAGATCTATGTCCTTGCCACAAGCAACATACACAGCTTCTGGAGGGTTGTCTAAGCCACCAACGAGAGCCTCAGCTTCTGGAGCCATGTCCACACCACTTATGAGAACCTCAACTTCTGGAATGATGTCCATGCCACTAGTGAGGGGCACGACCTCTGGAGGGATAGCCATGCCACAAATGACAACCACCACCTCTGGGGGGATGTCCACACCGCTAATGAGAGCCCCAGCACCTGGAACAATGTCCACACCACAAACAGCTTTTGGAATGATGCCCACTCTTGAAATGAAAGCCACAGACTGTGGACAGACATCTACTTCTCATACCAAAGTGAAAGTTTCTGGATCAAAGTCCACACCACATATGAGTGCCACAATTCCGGAAACAACAAACCCACCACCAAAGGAAGTGCCATCCTTTGGCATGTTGACCCCGGCACTCTGTTATCTCCTAGAAGAGCAGGAAGCAGCCCGAGGCGCATGCTCTGTGGAGGAAGAGATGGAGATTGATGAGGAGAAGCAAATGAAGGGCTTTTTGAATGATTCAGAGAAAATGGCATTTCTGGTGTCTCTTCATCTGGGGGCAGCGGAGAGGTGGTCTATCCTGCAGATGGAGGTAGGTAACCCTCTCTCAGATGAAAATAAATCCTTCCTGAGAAGGTCACAGGGCTTATATGACTCCCTGTCTGAGATAGACATCCTCAGTGCTGTTCTTTGCCATCCCAAGCAAGGCCAGAAGTCAGTCAGGCAGTATGCCACTGACTTCCTGCTGCTGGCCCGACATTTGTCTTGGTCTGATGCCATTCTACGGACCAGGTTTCTGGAAGGACTCTCAGAAGCTGTTACCACCAAAATGGGTCGGATCTTCCTGAAGGTGGCTGGCAGCCTAAAGGAGCTGATAGACAGGTCTCTCTACACCGAGTGCCAGCTGGCTGAAGAAAAGGATTCCCCAGGCAACTCAAGCCAGATTCTGCCGACAGCCTGTAAGCGGAATAATGAGGAGGCCATGGAGAGTGAACTAGGCTCTCAGCAGCAGACCGAAGAGGTAATGATGGGGAAGTACATTCAAGGTTTTGAGCAGGAAAAGGATGAGGTAACGATGAGGAATATACCCTAGTCCTTTGAGTAGAATTAGGAAGGAAGCAAAAGGGAGTTATTGAGCAACCAGACCATAAAAGCCCAACCTGGAGTTTTTATAAGTGGGCATGGAGATGCAGTTATTTGCATCATTTCATGAGCAATGTCTGACCCAAGTTACTGAGGGCCTGGTATGGTTAAAGCATGATCTTCTCATTTTCAGGGAACTGGCTGAGCTCAGTCCCAGCTCTCTACTTATTTCAAGTCCTATTCTAAAGGAGAAGGTCTCTACTTTTAGGGGCTGGGTCCCATCTATAAACACATGTGTTATGTACTCAGGTCACAATGGGATTTGGTTAGTCTAGTCCTTGGTCATTCTTTTTAGAAGTAAGAAAAATTAGCTAAGTTCTCTAACCTGCAAACTTACTGAACTTAGCTAGGCAGAACACCCCTGGTCATAGGAAGTGTGGCTCTTATTTCTGCTGTTTTTTCTCACTCCTAGCACCAACATGTTCCCAAACGCTGTTACTACCTGAAAGAGCATGGAGATCCCCAAGAGGGTCTTCACGATCACCTTCGACAGAGCACAGGCCATCAGAAGGGCCCCACTAACAAGTAGTGTTACCTGGAATCTTCTGTGATATTTGACTTTGCTGCTAACTTGAGGACTGGTTCCTGGACCCATTCCACTCAACTACATCATAAACCTTGTTGCCTTCACCCTCCAACCTCCTCCTCCAGGCACATCCCACCTTATCTCCCACTTGGCTGCCTTGACCTTCTCTTTCACCCACATGCCTGTGACCTGTCCTGACAATCAGAATGTGTACTACAAGAGTGTGTGGTGTATGAGGTTCTGAACTCCCATCACCATCAAGGCCAGTTCCAGTTCTTGGTCCAGGGAGAAGTCTAGGCAGGAGCAATCATGTCCTACCTCAAAAACACCTTAGAGTGTCTTGCCATGTGTCATCAGGCAAAATTGAGGAAACCCTGGTCCCATTCCACTTGGCAGGGGAGCCTGTAAAGAGAGACATACCCACTCCTGTACTACCCTTTTAATCCAGTATACTTGCCCCTATATGCTCCAACTCATAGTACCTAAAATGGGTCTCCAGGGCCATTGCCCTGTTTATAGTCTCCATCCTGAACCATTTGTTTTGACCCATAGTATTAATTCTAGTGATAGTAATGGCTAATAGTTATTGATAATGTGCCATGTGACAGGTACTGGGCTAAACTCTCGACAAGCACCGTCTTAATACAGTGTTACAGTAACCCAACTTGTTCTCGTGTTGTTAGCTTCTGATCTTCTGACCTGTTAAGCTGTTTATGGTCCTTGTCCTCCAGTGTGGAATCTCTAACTCTGACCTCTGGGTGACCCCCTCAGTTGTTAGGTACCTTAACTCCCTTTGGCTGTTGTGCTTCATAGCCTGCACTCTTGATAAGGGTCTTGGTCTCTAAACAGGCATAGATAGTTAGAATGTAATAGGAGCAGTGCTTGCCTTCAGGTGGTGGGGTTATGGGTGTTTTTTATTTTCTTCTTTCTACTTCTCTGTACTTTCCAGATTCTCTACAGTAAGCATGTAATACATTTGTAATCATAAAAGTGAATAAAGGTCATTTATGAAAAAAGAATTAATTGTGGCTATTGGGATTTGATTTATTGAGTCCTCTCAATTAATATTTATGATGTAACATGTATCAACCACTGTTTTGGATCCAGACAGATGAGACTGTTGCTTATATGAAAACCCCCAATTAAGGGAGGAGACAGACACTAAGCAAGAAAACAAGGTAGATTTGAATTGTGGTAAAGACTATAAAGATAAGAAATCAGGAAAAAGGAAAATTTGAGGCAAATTAAAACCAATTTATTTATTTAAAAATAGTCCATATAATTGTTTATTTGGGGCCTGAGGTTTGAACTCAGGGTCTCTCCTTGCTAGGCAGGTGCTATACCAGTTGAGCCACACACCCCCATATCTCACATTTCTTTTCTTTTCTTTCTTTCTTTCTTTTTTTTTGTCTAGGCTGACCTGGTCTGTCATACTCCTACTTAAGCTTTCCCACATAGCTGGGATGATAAGTGTGAACCACCACACCTGGCTTGTTGGTTGAGATGTGGTCTTGCTAACTTTCTGCCCACTTTGGCCTCGAACCTTCTTATCTCTGCTTCCAGAGTATCTGGAATTATAGGCATGAACCACAAGTATGAGCCACCATGCCTGGCCTCAAAGATCTTTTAAAAACAGAAGTAGAGCCATAACTAGAAATGCATTTTGGAAAGCTAACGTGGTAACAGTTTGGAGGCAGGTGGGAAAAAGGGGTCAGAGGTAGTTGCATCCCCTAGTTCAGGTGACTGGCCGGCCAGATTACTCAATCTAAGGTAGTGGCAGTGAGAACAGAAAGAAAGACAGAGCCCAAACCCTCCATGGGGATTCAAGTGTGCTGCTCCATTACCCTAAATATTGGGTCTGATTCCAGGAAGAGGAAAATTATTCTTAGGAAAGCAAAGCTTGGCAGACAACTTGGCAGCCTCATGGTACTGTACATAAGAAACTGGCTCTGGGGGCTGCCTGTAGCTGCCTCAATCGCCAGTGCTGTTGCCTCAGGCAAAAGAGGGCATGGTAAGTTGGGCAACACAAATTCCAGGCAGGGAGACAACTGGCCTCTGGGGATGCAGCTTTTCCCCACCTCTCCGCATTGGTTGGCTCACATCTGACCCAGTCCAGACGCAAGTGAAGTGTGGGCATCTGTGTTCAACCGGGATTGCTCGTATGTCAGAAAAGTTCTGTTGAATTTTCTTTCTATTGAAAGAGAAATTAATGATAGTCACAAGTCATGCCTGAAAAATGCATACAGAAAGGAAAATGTCTTCAAAATGATACTGATTTTCTTATAGCCATGATAATGGAAAAGAGTAGCAATTCTTTTCTTATTTTTCTCCCCAGCCATTCATCTTCATTTTGCTTTTTCCTCTCCTCTCCTTTAAGCTAACATCACTAGAGATAAATGGAACTAATGAAGGCCAATCATACCCTGTTAGAGCTCAGTCCTCATTCCATCCACCCTAAAGGTTATATTTAGAAATGTTTCAAGAGCTACTCAGCAACTACATGGAGCCAGGCTATCATATACCCAAGTACTTGAGACAATTTTGTCTTCTGGGAAATGGTGTTTCAAGTTTCTTCAGGCCTCACTGGACCCTGGGTAAAAATAAGGTCTCATAAGCAAGAGGAACTCAGGTGTCACCAAGCCCTGCCCTCATCCTTACATTACAGGACCTTAATCCCTTGAAGGTTTTCTTCAGTTTATTGGGGGAACACTCCAGAAGTTTCACATGCTCCAAAACAGCCCTTGTCTGCTGTTCTTTGACTCCTACCTGCCTTATGGAGGTCAGTTGCCCACGTGGTCACTTAGGGAAGATACTTGACCCTGCTCCAGCTGCTGGTGGGTTCCTCTGGATGTGGGAACATGGAGGCCTCGCTGCTGGGGGCTTGATTTTGGACCTCTCACAGCTACACATCAATGAGAGGCCTAAATAGTGCTATCATTCTGTTATGATTAGAATATGAATTGTCCCTCACAAGCTCATGTGTTGAAGGCTTGGTCCCCAGCTGTTGTTACTGTTTTGAAAGGCACTGGAAACTTTAGGATGTGGGGTTTAATAGGAGGAAGTGGGAGTGTCCTTGATGGGTATGTTTTCCCCTGCACTGGCTCCTTCCTGTCAGTCTCTTTCTGTTTCCTGGCCACCATGAGGTGAACACTGTTGATCTACCATGCCCTTCTGCCATGATGTTCTGCCTCACCACAGCCCAGAAACAATAGAGTCAGTGACCATGGACTGGAATCTCTGAAACCATGAGCCAAAATAAACTTTCCTCTTTTTAAGTTGTTTATGTCAGGTATTTTGTTACAGCAAAGAAGAGTCTGATTAACACACCTCCTTTATGGCAGCTTTGGCTGAAGGCACTTCCGGATTCACACAGAGAATGGGAATGTCCCCTTTTCCACTGTGTGTCACACTTTGTCACCTGGACACTGAAGCACCATTGCTTCTAGTTTGTGTCTTACTGAGGTCCCTGGGAGAAAACAACCTGAGAAGGAGGTTGTCTCATTAATTCTATTTTATAGACTGGGAATCTGAGACACAGAGAGGTTAAGTAACTGGCCCAACACTATAGAACTAAGAAGCAGCAGAGCTGGGATTTGAGCACATGAAATCTGACCCCAGTGCCCCACACATGCAACTGCTCTGTTATATATACAACTCTGTATTCAGAGACAGATGGTCCCTGTGAGTCCTCAAGTCTGCTCAAACTTGCCACTGAACAGCAGCCAACATTTGAAGTCCACAAGGCTGGAGGCCTGAATAAAAATGACCCTGCAGTCCCCACCCCCCCCCCGCCTGCCCCGCCATCTCCCATGTAGATCCAGATACGAATCCTCCTGGAGGCAGTCTTACCAATAAGTGTTCAATGCTATTAAACTCAGGAGGTTCTGCCTAGGGTCTGCCTGTAGCTGCAAGGTGGAGCAGCCTCTGGTCAGAGCTATGGCCTGAGAAGGAAGCTAAGATTCTCCCTTGGGCATCTTGCCATTGAGAAAAAAATGCATCTTGGACCCAGGATTCTGAAAGTAGAAGGGATTTTTATGGTTACACCAAGTGCTTCATCTTTTTTAGCATGTATTTTTCCCTCTTTTTCACTTTTCTATAAGAAAGAGGGTGCAGTGATAAGGAAGGAAGGTGATTAATCATTTAGATGCTCCATATCCTTGTCTTCCAGTACCTCCCTTCTCCTATGGAACATTATTCTGGCTCTAACATTGGAGGAGAAAAAAACACACACTAAAAAGGCACCAGACACATCTGGTTTCAACAACTTGATAGAAATAATCTACAGTGGCTTCTCCCATTATGAACTCAAAGTAATGCTGGATAAAGTATGGGAGGAGTGCACTGCTGAGTCTGAAATAAAGAAATCCCTAGGGGCAACAATACCAAAGGCAGAATTTTTATACATATTTTTATTGACATATATTAATTATGCAAAGTGAGGGGTTTCATTGTGATGTTTCCATACATGCATATAATTTACTTTGATCATATTCACCCCCTCTATTGATCTTTCTTCATTCCTCTCCCCAACCCTCCATTTTAAACTTTCTTACAAAGTTTTATATGAATTTCATTATGACTTTTTCATATGCACATATAATGTACTTTGATCACGTTCCACATCCCCATGGTTCCCACCAATATCTCCCCATTTATAAATGTTCGTTCATGTTCTTCTTATTATTTTTAAATTTAGATTCCACATATGAGAGAACACATGTGGTATTTGTCTTTCTGAGTCTGGCTTATTTTGCTCAACATCATGATTTCCTGTTTCATCCATTTTCCTGAAAACTGTATAATTTCATTCTCCTTTATGGATGAATAGTACTCCATTGTGTATATATATCACATTTTCTTTATCCATTCATTGGTTGTTGGGCACCCAGGCTCATTCTATAGTTCGACTATTGTGAATAGTGCTGCTAGAAGCAGGTATCTCTATTGTAAATACTACTCTTGGGCATACACCTAAAGGAAATTG